GTAGACATAAGCCCTACTCTCTTATCTGTGGTTTGATAAAGACTTCCAGGAAGAAAATTTTAGAATAGGGTAACATGCTAAACTGAACAGAGAAAAGCCTTGTTGTTGTTGTTGGTGTTGTTTTTTGGAATCTTTCAAATGTGAAGGTTATTGCCACCAAAAAAAAAAAAAAAAAACTCAAGAATAATCCTTGCAACAGGGCTGGGGCTGGTTAGGAGCATACTTTTTCTTACAGTGTCTTCCATAAAGAACACTGGGACACACTGATTCCCACCAAAAGGTCCAGAGGCTTGTTTGCTCTGGCTTAGAGTTGTGGGACAACCACCTTTGTGGTCGACTCTAGTTGGACCCTTTTCTGGCTAGGACCGTGAGGTCCTCCTTCACATGATTTGAATGCCAAGATAAACTTTTCTGGTAACTTCACAGACCAGTCAAAACCATTTATGAGGCATTTGAAGAGAGAGAGGGAAAGGGAAAGGGATAGATACAGTCTCCCCTCTCTCCTTTCCAGTTTCAATTTTGTGTCTGCCCCTTTTTTCTTTTCCTATAGCCAATTTTCTTATCAACTGTATTAGCTCTCACTTCCAGCATGATAAAAGCTTCCAGATCCATCTCCTCACTTCCCCTCTCCTCTTTAGTTCATCTTGTGTTTCCTTTATCATGGAGATGCCTGTCACATCCTATCCTTCAGGGGTCGTTGGGTATAAGGCTGGTTGTGCCTCTCTGCCCACCTGCCACCATTCCACTGGAGCCTCCTGTTTGCAGCACCAGTCATTCTGGTCTTCTGTCCATTCATAACCTTATGATTCATATATAAAGCCACCATAACACCCAGCAAAGTTGGGTGCAGAATCTACCTTTAATAGCATCAGGGAAGGAGTATACTCTCCTCCTCTCGGCCTTTGCTTGGGCTCCTCCCTCACAAATTCTCACCTGTGTTCTACTTAGTATTCATGGTCGTACTTAAGGTGACCTCCCCCTCCAAGACATTTGATCAAAACACAACACTTTCTACTGCTTACTCCTGAACCGCTTTGAGTCCAGTGTTGCGGATTCCAGTGACCATGATGTGTTTTGTTTGTCTCTGCTCTAAAGTGTAGATTCCAGAAGGTAGGGACCAGTGTTTGCCCTAGACCCAGAGGAGGACTAGCATGCAATGACTGCTCAATAAATATTCATTGAATAAATACTCAAAGTTCTGGAGAATAAGAACTGCATCTTTTTTATCTTTGGATTCACAACAGCATTATTTTTTAGGTTGTTTATATAGAGTTCATGTCCTAAAACTTTGTGAGAACTGCCCTTGAAAGGTGAAAGTCCAGATATGCTATACTGCATCATTTTTATTTCCAAATAGTCATATCTCCTCACAATCACATAGTTTTCTCTGGTTTGTGAAAGATGATACAGTTGTCTCTCAGTATCTTGGGGACTTGGTTCTAGGATCCACCATAGATAGCAAAATCTGCAAGGTGCTCAAGCCCTTTACAGAAAATGGTGCAGTATTTGCATAGAACCAACACACATCCTCCTGGATACTTTAAATTATCTCTAAGTCACTCATAATACCTAATACAATGTCAATGCTATGTAAATAGTTGTTTTTACTGCATTACTTAGGGAATTATGTCAAGGGAAAAGTCTGCACATGTTCAGTATAGGCACAATTTTTTCAAATATATTTAATCCACAGTTGATTGAATCTGTGGATGCAGAACCTGTGGATATGGAGGGAGTGCTGCATATGAAATTTCTCAGGAGAGCTTGTGCATGCATACACGCTAAAAATGTAGCTGCTGGTTTTTTGGTTTTGGGGTTTTTTTGGTGGTATTGGGGTTTGAACTCAGAGACTCATGCTTGCTAGGCAAGGGCTCTACCACTTGAGCCTCTCCACCAGCCTGTTGCTGCTGTTTTTTGAGTCTGTTATTAAAAGGGAAAATTGAAGCCAGCCTGCCTTAGTTTGTTTTGTGCTGCTATAGCAATATACCACAGATTAGTTAATTTAGCAGAAATTTATTGGCTCACAGTTCTGGAGGCTGGGAAGTTCAATATCAAGGCATCAGCAAGTTTGGTGGTTTTGATTCCAAGATGGTGCCTTGAACACTTTGTCCTCTGGAAGAGAGAGGCACATTGTTTTCACAGGTGGAAGAGAAAACAGGCAAAGGAGGGGGGCTGAACTCATTTTATAAAAGCATTAATCTCACCTATGAGGGTGGAGCCCTTTGTGTAGTCTCTTAAAAGTCACATTTCTTAGTACTTTTATAATGACAATTAAATTTCAACGTGATTTTTTTTTAATTTTTATTTTTTTATTATTCATATGTGCATACAATGCTTGGGTCATTTCTCACCTGTGCCCCTACCCCCTCCTTTACCACCCACTCCGCCCCCTCCCTCTACCCCCACCCCCTTGCTAACCGGCAGAAACTATTTTGCCCTTATCTCTAATTTTGTTGTAGAGAGAGTATAAACAATAATAGGAAGGAACAAGGGTTTTTGCTAGTTGAGATAAGGATAGCTGTACAGGGAGTTGACTCACATTGATTTCCTGTGAGTGTGTGTTGCCTTCTAGGTTAATTCTTTTTGATCTAACCTTTTCTCTAGTTCCTGGTCCCCTTCTCCTATTGGCCTCAGTTGCTTTTAAGGTATCTGCTTTAGTTTCTCTGCATTAAGGGCAACAAATGCTAGCTAATTTTTTAGGTGTCTTACCTATCCTCATATCTCCCTTGTGTGCACTCGCTTTTATCTTGTGATCCAAGTTCAATCCCCTTGTTGTGTTTGCCCTTGATCTCATGTCCACATATGAGGGAGAACATATGATTTTTGGTCTTTTGGGCCAGGCTAACCTCACTCAGAATGATGTTCTCCAATTCCATCCATTTACTGGCAAATAATAACATTTTGTTCTTCTTCATGGCTGCATAAAATTCCATTGTGTATAGATACCACATTTTCTTTATCCATTCATCAGTGGTGGGGCATCTTGGCTGTTTCCATAACTTGGCTATTGTGAATAGTGCCGCAATAAACATGGGTGTGCAGGTGCCTCTGGAGTAACCTGTGTCATAAGTCTTTTGGGTATATCCCCAAGAGTGGTATTGCTGGATCAAATGGTAGATCAATGTTTAGCTTTTTGAGTAGCCTCCAAATTTTTTTCCAGAGTGGTTGTACTAGTTTACATTCCCACCAACAGTGTAAGAGGGTTCCTTTTTCCCCGCATCCTCGCCAAAACCTGTTGTTGGTGGTGTTGCTGATGATGGCTATTCTAACAGGGGTGAGGTGGAATCTTAGTGTGGTTTTAGTTTGCATTTCCTTTATTGCTAGAGATGGTGAGCATTTTTTCATGTGTTTTTTGGCCATTTGAATTTCTTCTTTTGAGAAAGTTCTGTTTAGTTCACTTGCCCATTTCTTTATTGGTTTCATTAGTTTTGGGAGAATTTAGTTTTTTAAGTTTCCTATATATTCTGGTTATCAGTCCTTTGATGTGTAGCTGGCAAATATTTTCTCCCACTCTGTGGGTGGTCTCTTCAGTGTAGAGACCATTTCTTTTGATGAGCAGATGCTTTTTAGTTTTATGAAGTCCCATTTATCTATGCTATCTCTTAGTTGTTGTGCTGCTGGGGTTTCATTGAGAAAGTTCTTACCTATACCTACTAACTCCAGAGTATTTCCTACTCTTTCCTGTATCAACTTTAGAGTTTGGGGTCTGATATTAAGATCCTTGGTCCATTTTGAGTTAATGTTGGTATAGGGTGATATACATGTGATCTAGTTTCAGTTTTTTGCAGACTGCTAACCAGTTTTGCCAGCAGTTTTTGTTGAAGAGGCTGCTATTTCTCCATCGTATATTTTTAGCTCCTTTGTCAAAGACAAGTTGGTTATAGTTGTGTGCCTTCATATCTGGGTCCTCTGTTCTGTTCCACTGGTCTTCATGTCTGTTTTTGTGCCAGTACCATGCTGTTTTTATTGTTATTGCTTTGTAATATAGTTTGAAGTCAGGTATTGTGATACCTCCTGCATTGTTCTTTTGACTGAGTATTGCCTGGCTATTCATGGCCTCTTGTGTTTTCATATAAATTTCACAGTAGATTTTTCAATCTCTTTAATGAATGTCATTGGAATTTTGATGGGAATTGCATTAAACGTGTAGATTACTTTTGGGAGTATAGACATTTTTACTATGTTGATTCTACCAATCCATGAGCATGGGAGAGCTCACTTTCTATAGTCTTCCTCAGTCTCTTTCTTCAGAAGTTTATAGTTTTCCTTGTACAGGTCATTCACATCTTTTGTTAAGTTTACACTTAGGTATTTGATTGTTTTTGAGGCTATTGTAAATGGAATTATTTTCCTATATTCTTTTTCAGTTTGTTCATTATTAGTGTATAGAAATGCTAATGATTTTTCTATGTCGATTTCATATCCTGCTATCTTGCTGTAGCTATTGATGGTGTCTAAGAGCTTCTGAGTAGAGTTTTTTGGGTCTTTACAGTATAGGATCATGTCATCTGCAAATAGGAATATTTTGACAGTTTCTTTACCTATTTGTATTCCTTTTATTCCTTCTTCTTGCCTAATTGCTCTGGCTAGGAATTCCAGTACTATGTTGAATAGAAGTGGAGATAATGGGCATCCTTGTCTAGTTCCTGATTTTAGAGGGAATGGTTTCAACATGATTTTTGAAGGGGACAAGAAAAACCATAGCATACCCTGTCTTAAGAACTAGAACGTGGTGTCATAATCACTTATTCTCTTGTCTTAGAATTTATTCCTTCTGTGGGATGGGGAGCACTGTTTATGTATGCACATCTTGTCTCCATGGTTGCAAGAAACCATGTTTTAATACTCACCTATATTAGGTTTTCAATACCGATAAATAATAAGTTATTATTTATAAGGGGGGAAAAAAGAGTTGCTTTTCATGAGCTGTTGGGACCTTTAGGGATATTTCTATTTTACAAATGAACATTCATTTCCTCTGGGTTTGACCTCTTTTCCAGGGAAGTTCCCCTGAAGGATGCTAAGGAATATGCTGAATCCATAGGTGCCATCGTAGTTGAAACAAGTGCCAAGAATGCTATTAATATCGAGGAGCTCTTTCAAGGAATCAGTAAGTATCTGCAATTCTGTTTTCAGCCTAGCTTGCATTTTTTATGCTTCAGAGAGTCAAAGGATAAAATTGTAGAGCTCCAAAGTAGAATCTCCCGTGTGAATTTATCTGATGCTATGAATATAAAACCTGCAACTATGCATGTGTTAATACTCACCTCTATTATGCCTTTCAGTTCTAAATTTCCATAATTCTGTTTTGTGAGCTAAAGTGAATTAATCCAGTTACAAAAATAAAATTTATTTTTATAGTTATATTTATAATTATATTTATTTACAACTTTTGTGTTCTACAGCATTTCATGTTCGTATGTTGAGGGGAGGAGAGATGAAATAGACAACGATGTGGTATAGAAGTTCAAAGACACTCATTAAACTGAGTAGGCAAGTAAAATAAGGGAAGCTTTTAGCAATTTCTTTTGCCAGATGACCATCACAAAAAGTAATGTCTGTCTCTCACGTGACCTGAAATTGGAAATTGGGCAGAGAGTCCAGTTTTAAAGACATTCCTTTATTTCTCATAAGCTAATTCATGGAAGGGGACAGCTCTCTGAGTACCCAGCTCTGAGTCATGTTATGCTTCACTTTCTTACAATGGTTTTCAATAAATGACCTTATCAACAAGACATTTCCCCACTGATGTCCACACTATCATATCTGTCTGTGTATGAGACTTTAAACTCACCAGATTTCACCTACATAAACTCCAGTTGTAACATTCTATTCCGTCTCCTGCCAGAGAAGTTCTAGCTGATAGCTGTCTGGAGCTGCTCCTAGGTCCTAAAGTACGTTAGAGTGTAATCAGAGAGGTCGAGAGATGCTGGTAGTACAGGTCTTGGGTACTCCTCATCAGTTAGCAGCTGTCCTCAGATATCTTAGCACCGAACAGTTCCAGAAGGGAGACTAAGGCTTGCTCTCTTCCACCTGAGGTCATGGTTGATAAGCTCTCTAAGGCCAGGGGGTCTTCCCTCTTGGAACAGATCTGATTTCCATTTTACTGGTTCATGTCTGTTACTTTGGATTCTGAAAACCCACAGCAGAGAATTTTTTTTGTTTGCTGACTTGACAGAGAATTCACTGGACATGGGGAACACAACTCAGAACCTGTGTTATGTCTACTTTGCAAATGTATGCAAAAGAAATGTGCAAAAGAATACCACTGAGCCTCACTCCATAGCCACAGGGACCTCACTGCCTTGCCTTCTACTTCCAGAAGTTCTTTCTGTTCCTATTTCACACTTGTACAGAAAAACGTCCTCAAGTTTGCTGACCAGAGTGATTGACCTCTAGCTTGTTAAGGCTGTAATTTGGATCCCCTCATGTAGTCATGCTTGGTCCTTCTGGGATGGACCGTGAGAGCAGGTACTCTCTGTACCAGTGAAACTCTGGGGATGTCTCAGAGTTTGCTTGAGCTCATTACATGTGCTCCATTATTTCCCCATATCAGATTCTATTCTGATAGCATTAGGCTTTTCCGGTGTGTTCAACTATTAAACATTTTGTTTTAGAAAAATGTCGATACTCCCAAAAGTAATCTACATGTTTAATGCAATTCCCATCAAAATTCCAATGACATTCAATTAAAGAGATTGAAAAATCTACTGTGAAATATATATGGAAACACAAGAGGCCACGAATAGCCAGGCAATACTCAGTCAAAAGAACAATGCAGGAGGTATAACAATACCTGACTTCAAACTATATTACAAAGCAATAACAATAAAAACAGCATGGTACTGGCACAAAAACAGACATGAAGACCAGTGGAACAGAACAGAGGACCCAGATATGAAGGCACACAACTATAACCAACTTGTCTTTGACAAAGGAGCTAAAAATATACGATGGAGAAATAGCAGCCTCTTCAACAAAAACTGCTGGCAAAACTGGTTAGCAGTCTGCAAAAAACTGAAACTAGATCCATGTATATCACCCTATACCAACATTAACTCAAAATGGATCAAGGATCTTAATATCAGACCCCAAACTCTAAAGTTGATACAGGAAAGAGTAGGAAATACTCTGGAGTTAGTAGGTATAGGTAAGAACTTTCTCAACAAAACCCCAGCAGCACAACAACTAAGAGATAGCATAGATAAATGGGACCTCATAAAGCTAAAAAGCGTCTGTTCATCAAAAGAAATGGTGTCTAAACTGAAGAGAACACCCACAGACTGGGAGAAAATATTTGCCAACTATACATCAGACAAAGGACTGATAACCAGAATATATAGGGAACTTAAAAAACTAAATTCTCCCAAAACTAATGAACCAATAAAGAAATGGGCAAGTGAACTAAACAGAACTTTCTCAAAAGAAGAAATTCAAATGGCCAAAAAACACATGAAAAAATGCTCACCATCTCTAGCAATAAAGGAAATGCAAACTAAAACCACACTAAGATTCCACCTCACCCCTGTTAGAATAGCCATCATCAGCAACACCACCAACAACAGGTTTTGGCGAGGATGCGGGGAAAAAGGAACCCTCTTACACTGTTGGTGGGAATGTAAACTAGTACAACCACTCTGGAAAAAAATTTGGAGGCTACTTAAAAAGCTAGACATCGATCTACCATTTGATCCAGCAATACCACTCTTGGGGATATACCCAAAAGACTTATGACACAGGTTACTCCAGAGGCACCTGCACACCCATGTTTATTGCGGCACTATTCACAATAGCCAAGTTATGGAAACAGCTAAGATGCCCCACCACTGACAAATGGATAAAGAAAATGTGGTATCTATACACAATGGAATTTTATGCAGCCATGAAGAAGAACAAAATGTTATTATTTGCTGGTAAATGGATGGAATTGGAGAACATCATTCTGAGTGAGGTTAGCCTGGCCCAAAAGACCAAAAATCATATGTTCTCCCTCATATGTGGACATTAGATCAAGGGCAAACACAACAATGGGATTGGACTATGAGCACATGATAAAAGCAAGAGCACACAAGGGAGGGGTGAGGATAGGTAAGACACCTAAAAAACTAGCTAGCATTTGTTGCCCTTAATGCAGAGAAACTAAAGCAGATACCTTAAAGCAACTGAGGCCAATAGGAAAAGGGGACCAGGAACTAGAGAAAAGGTTAGATCAAAAAGAATTAACCTAGAAGGTAACACCCACACACAGGAAATCAATGTGAGTCAATGCCCTGTATAGCTATCCTTATCTCAACCAGCAAAACCCCTTGTTCCTTCCTATTATTGCTTATACTCTCTCTACAACAAAATTAGAGATAAGGGCAAAATAGTTTCTGCTGGGTATTGAGGGGGGAGCGGGAGGGGTGGAGTGGGTGGTAAGGGAGGGGGTGGGGGCAGGGGGAGAAATGAACCAAGCCTTGTATGCACATATGAATAATAAAAGAAAAATGAAAAAAAAAAAAAAAAAAAAAAAGAAAGATGTACTCGCTCTACAAGAATGAATATAGAATTTTTAAACCAACTGAAACCACCATAAGAAAGGGACTAAGGTAGAAAGAAGACAAATAGAGATGAACTAAATCAAGCTATAATTCATATATACATGAAAGTGCCAAAAGGAAACTCCCTGTGTAGCTATCTTAAACAAGCAAAAATGTCATTTTCTTCTTCTTTCTTTGTCATACAAAACTGGAGAACAGGAGAGCAGAACAGGTCCTGCCTGCAGGTGGTGGGAGAGGGTAGGTAGCAGTGGGATGGGGAGAAGGTGGGGAAATGGTGAAGGAGGGTGAATATGTGTACCCTGTGTACTGTGTACGTGTATATGTAAATGGAAAAATGATGTCTGTGAAATGATTCTAGAAATGGGGGGATGGGGGATGAAGGAGAATGGTGGAGAGGGTGAATTCAAGTAAGTAAGATATATATGATGTGTTGTAAGAACTTCTGTAAATCCCACAATGTAGCCCTACCCAGCACAACAATAAAAAAAATTTTAAGGAAAAAAAAAAAAAAAAAAAAAAAAAAAAAAAAAAAAAAAAAAAAAAGAAATAAGGGCAAAATAGTTTCTGCTGGGTATTGAGGGGGTGAGGGGGTGAGGGAGGGGGCGGAGTGGTGGTAAAGGAGTGGGTAGGGGCACAGGTGAGAAATGACCCAAGCCTTGTAGGCACATATGAATAATAAAAGGAAAAAAAACAAAAAACAAAGTACTGAAAAAAATGAAAAAAAAAAACATTTTGTTTTTATAAGAAGTTTTAATGAACAACCTGATACTGATTATATTAATGCCTCTCATTTGTATAGCTACTTAACATTTTGTAGAGCCCATTCCCCAGCATGAGCTCTCTGGCCTGAGCAGAAGGCAGACCACAGAGATCAGCCAAAGGAAAGCTTAGTGCTTTGTGTGCCTTAAATTCACCTTAGATTCCTGAATGAGCTAGGGGCCTCCAAGGTTGATGAAAGTCAGTATTAAAATAGAAAGTCAAGTAAGAACTTCAAAAACAATAAGCCTAAGAAGCAAGTATTAATATCTTAACTTGAAAGATTTCTTTGTATGGTTGAGCCAGCATAAATCCTTCCCATATATGAGGCCTTTGTGGCTCACAGTGGTAGAGATTTTGAATAATTAATTCCTCAGATCCTGGTAGTCAGCTTCATTTAGGAAAAGAAATGTTTTGCTTAAAGCATGAGGTAAGAATGTCTTCAAAGTAACTCCTATACAAATCTTAGGGTACCTGTATCACCTCATCTTCACATAAAAAAATATTATTTCTTTGTGTTGTTACAGTTATTAGTGCTGTAAAGAAAGCTTGCAAATGCTTAACCTAAGGCAGAATCTCTTATCCATCCATCATTTCTATTTATCCATCTACCCATCTCTCTTCATCTATCCACCTACCATTTCTCTATATCCATCTATCTTTGTCAATCCATTTGTAGTCTATCTATATATCTTTATCTACCAACCTATCTTTCTCCTTCCCTCCCTACTTAACCTTCCTGTATTTGTGAGCTCTGGTGCTTTCCTCTTGCCTCTTTACTCCTTTGGGTAAATTTCTTCACAATTAGGTTTTG